CGATGTCAAAAACATGTCGTGTGACACATCGTAAAGGCTGGGAGCAGTGAATTGCAGGAAACGCACACACGATTGACTTCTTTGTGGTCCGCCGCACCCTGACTTTGATCAGCTAAGTGCATCTGTAGTGGTTTAAAACTGAAATATCAAATTTAGTGTCATTTTCATACCCAGATATGCATATTTTTAAACGTAACCCTCTTTTTATAGTTATATTTTTTGCAATCTCAGCTGGTGTTGAGGTTACGATCATTATTTTAATAATTCGAAATGGACGAAAAAATAACCAAAACATTTAAAATAAAATGTGTTATTGTATTATTAAGTTCTGTTTCCTAAATAAGAAAGTACATAATTATTATTTTTGAAATACCCTCAGCTGCAGCTAGACGTCCACGATACACTTTTTCCCTCTTTTGCTTTCATTTTTCTTCTCCTTTTAGACCATATGACCACGATGGCGATGTCATTGCTAGCGCTAGGAATAATAACTAAAGTAAGAGTAAACAATAACTAAAGTAGACAACTAATGCATTAAAAATTCATTCTTCTCATTGTATCTTAAAACTAACATTAAAACATTGCGCAGAATGCAAATCATAAAATTAGGTCGTAATAATAAAGCTTATAACATACTAATAAAGCGTATAACATCCTATTCCACTGTATTATTGGAATCTTAAAATTTACAGTTTTAAATGTGTAAATAAAAAAAAAATAGCATCTTACCTATTTTCTAAAATAAAAGTTTTAAAATTTAGGATTCCGTTTTAAATGGCTTTACAAATCGTTGTCATACTTAACTTCAAAACAAACAATAATTAAACACTATCATATTTTCCAGTGTTTCCAAATACTGTATTAGTATTTTTGTACGCTAACAGTCCGTATAAACTTTGTGAATAAACATACCAGAAGACAAAAAAAAAAAAAAAAAAAAAAAAAAAAAAAAAAAAATGTTGAACCTTTTTCACAGCTCCAAGCAGTAACAATTTTTACAGGTGAAGATATTCAGAGCAAATCATTCTGATACTTTCATCAATTTACATACGAAATACAAATAGTATGGCGAATATATAAAAAAAAGTATGGCACATTTAACACTGCGTCCACGGCACACGCATTCTTCTTTAATAAAACATGTTTTGAGAAGTCTTTAATCATTACCATTTTGTTTCATTATTACATATCGAGTTTCATTTCCATATAAGCGTAATTCAATGCAACTATATGGGTGGGACTAACTTAGCGCGAGCTCGATCCTGTAAATGACGATCCCATGGCGATAACCCATGACGATCGAAAGATCCAAGATAACTTACTGCAGAAATCACTGCTCGCAAAATTCAGTTCCGTATTCTATTAAATATTTAATATTTTAAAATTTTTCCGTAAGTGCTAATAATTAAACGCTATTTGAAGACAGTGTCCTTTAGTTTATACATTTCTATTAATAACGTACTAATTTGAAAACAAGAGCATCGTCGTGTATGATAAATATATATGAACCTAGATGTATTTCAGTTTTGCACTAAAACCTGTTATGTAGAGTTGCATATTATTTATTTTTTCTTCCATTAAATTTTGTTTTCTAGTGATAAACGTAGCATATTTATGCAAAGTGAGCAAGCAAAAAACAATTGCTTGTCTTTTGAAATTTCAATCTTCTCTGTAACTGACATTTTTAACCTTGATTTATGATAAAGAATCCAACTTTCGAAATTACCTCACTTTGCATTCTGGCATTTTTATTTTATTTATTTATTAGTCCAAAGGGGCAATTTTCCCAGAAAGACTATTAATTTCGTTTTGGCATTTTGCGTTGGTTCACTATAAATGGCGGTTCACTTTTCAAATTATTGCCACCAAATATTATCGCCCTATATTATATTTAAAGAAATTAAATAATGAAGAAACTGAATAAATGTATATATGTTTCTCGCATTGTGATAAAACAACGGTACCTAGAGCTATCAAATTATGAATAACGCGAGTTTGCACCCGAATATGGGCATCTGGAAGCCCAAATTTGGAATTTGGAATTTGTTTTATCATATTTTGTAAAACTTTAAAGAATTTTTGATTAACAAACTCAAAGATTTAACAGCGAGCAATGGCAACACTTTAAGGAAAAAAAAAAAAAACTTATTATTTCCAGTGCGTGAAACTGTATCGGAAATTCGAAAGATATGCTCATTTTAAATCTATTTTGCAATATTGCTATTAAATTGAATTTTATGCTTTAAGTGCGAAGAACATGATATTTAATAAATAAATTAACACACAAAACGTTAAAAAAGAGCCCCTTAGGGCGTACTTTCAGATTTTCATTTTTCATTTATTTATTTTGTCTTTTTCTGATGTATTAAAAATTCTTCGCATAATAATAGTGAAATCATATTCATTTCTCGTAAAAATACATACTTCGAAATTTATAGCCGGTGAAATTTTTTTAAAGCTTTTTTTTGCTTTCTTTCGTATTTTAAACTATGTTTAAAACATTTCTCGCAGTCGAAAGTTATGAAGTGCAAAATCGTTGAAGACAGGGCAATTGATTGATGTCTAAGTCACTTACAAAAAATGCTACATATTTATTCCTTTTTATTTCGTGTTTTTTTTTTCTGGTACAGTTCAACATGACTATTATGAAAGATGACGGCAAAGAAATAACCATAAAAAAAGGGGTGTTCATAAGCATTGCAAAAACATGTAACCTGCTGACCAAGGACGTCATTTTCCACATCAAGCTTGGAATTTTAATGATCGTCATGGTTGTTAAAACTTATCACATTGAAAATACATTTTTCTGCAGACATTGTCGTGAAAGTTCATTGACTAGCGTCAGAAATTAAAAGCAAAAATGAAATATGTGAAACCACTATCTGAATGAACTGCGTATTGCCCCGACTGTAGATAATATGCTGTTTTTTTAAGTGGAATTTTGAAAACTAGTTGTTTTAACATTAAAATGCATAATAAGATAATTTATAGTTTATTTCTGAATCTTCACTAAATTTATTTACTTGGTTTCTGCCAAAGTATGGTATTTATATTGCAAACAAATCGTTGTGAATTTTGTATATACGTACATATCATGTTATTGAAATAATATGCTTGCAGTAACTCTTGTATAATGCAACATGAAAGACCTGAAGATTGTGAAAACCGCCAGAAAAATAAGGTTAGAGGGCAAGCCCTTAACGAGATAGTGCCAAGCTAGCGATAGTTTTGGCAACTAATTTTGTTGCCAGATTTGCTGAGAAATCTATCAAAGTTAGCAACATTTGGGTCCGCTCCCTGTACAACTGTAACTGGTCCTTCTGCATAAAACTGTAACTGCATATTCCTTCCAGGAATTTCCAAAAATTGAAAGTACTGGAAATTTCGCGGCGGGGAAAACTATATAAGACATAAGAGAGCAACGGTTTTCGGTTTTCAGTTCAGAGTTCAGAGTATTGAGAAATCTCCGTACGAGCTTCGCTGTTTAAATAGGCTTTGCATTATTTTATGCTTAACTTGCGTAGTTATTAGTGGTAATCATTGATTGGGCTCTGTCATACTGAGAAGATCTGTGAGAGCACTTTTGTGAAAGGTTCGAGCACTGTGAGGTGTTTATTTTGGGAAAATACATTTTATCAATCTGTCATCGTTTCTGTCTGCATTGAATCCATTACGAACCGCTACGCATGTAAAACATTAAATGCATTTCTTCCATATATCGTTATAATTTAGTGGTTAGTACATCTAGCTAGCAACTGATAGGCCTTGAGTTCGATTCCCAGTGAGGACACTATTGTTTCCAAAACTCCTATTCATAAGGAAAATCCGCATATTTTACAATGGCGCCAAAATTAAAATGTGGTGTATCTCGTAACAACTTTTTTAACTGACTAGCTGGAGTTTCCTTCATTCGAACTTTAAATGAAATTGGGAGAATGTAAGGAATTAAAGGCTTGTAGATGTTTTGGCGGTGAATGGGTCAGGACATTTAATATATATATAAAAGATAAAGTTCAAGATGAGCAAAAATTAAGATTATTCTATCTAAGGAATAAGGTGTGGGGGGGATATTTAAGAGGTCTCAGCATATATATGTGTATATATGCATATATAAAGACAAAAAGTAAGAAATCTAGAACTCATTTTACACAAATATCCCCTAAAAAGTGAAACCCAATACAAACAAATTTCAAAATCTTCAACAAATACAAAATAGGAACTAAAGAAATGTGAAATTAAACCCAAAAATTATTATATAAATATTCATCGGACTTAATAAAATCATCAAATTTTTACATCGGACTTAATAAAATTCCTCTTCTTTATTTTATTTTTCTGATATTGGTATAATTTTTGAGGTATCTATGATTTTTGGGTTTTAATTTCACATTTATTTGGTTCTTATTTTGTATTTGTTGGATATTTTGAAATTTGCTGGTACTGGGTTTCACCTTTTTTGGTGGCTTATTGTAAAATGGGTTCTAGATTTCTTTCGTTTTGTCTATCTATTTTATATATACGCACACACAAATAAGTTTTCTTGAACGTAATACATCAATTAAAGATCGTCACGTTTTACGGGATACTTAAATAATTAACCATATTCGTATATAGAGTTCGGAACTAAATGAGGTTGATTTGGATTATATTACTTGCAGATGGAAGGAACACATAATTTTAACCTGTAACAAATATGCTTAAATCTGTAACAAATATAAATATTATAGTACGAGAGTTCTGTTTAAAGGAAAATTTGTTTTACGTGAATTGTGTTGCCATTGCAATAAATGTTCACTAATATATTTTAAGATAAACTAACAAATAAAATAAAATTTAAAAAATGTTGGAAATTTTAACTTCATAATCATTGTTTCATGAAATGCAGTTTTTACCTTTTATTTGGTGATCTAAGCCTATTATAATTACTGCGCTAAAACACTGTTGAAATATCAATTTGAATATACTTTAAAAAAAACCCTCTTTTTTTTTGTTCCCCCCAGGTTGCTGGCCAACGAGCTGGAGAATTCTCATCCGAAGCTATTCCAAAGCGTAGCATCTAATCTAGGATTACATAGCTTTCCTTCCGAAGCTGTTGTACATAATGTGTTCGCTGCTGTTGCCGAAGAGATATTCCGAAACGACGTGACCTGGGGTCGTATCGTTGCTCTCTTTGCCATGACAGGTGCTCTTGCAATGGACTGCGTTAAAACCGGACATCCAGAATATGTCCTCGGCCTGGTGCAAAGGATGGGCATATTTGTCGAGAGTGACCTCGCACCCTGGATTTGTCAACAAGGAGGATGGGTAAGTATTTGAATTTCTTTTAGCTTTTTTAACCACTTTCATTTTCATGTATGTTAATGGACCAAGTAAGCCATACGACGTGTGGGTTGAGATAGCACGTGCCCAAGCTTTGTACTGATGATTGTATTCAGGTTTTATACGATATTCTGCTTAACATTATTCTTAGCGAAAGCTAGTAATAAACTGATGTTATTAAACACAAAAGAACTCGTTTCTGCACTATTTTTTACTCTGTCCGTACAGAATCTATGGAAAGTAGAGGATTATTCAAAATTATTCTCAATTCACTTCATTGCATTTTTTAACTGTGTCATATAAAATCTCAAAAGAGGAGTGTTTTTTCTTTAGATTTTTTAACCACATTAAGGCATTATGAGTTTCTAGCTATGTATGCTCCAACATATGCCTTGATGGACCAGCTATTTTTAATTTTTTCAAGGAAAATTGTCTATTGCGTTCATGACCCGGTTAACTCTTAAACAAAATGAAAATAGCTACCAGTTTGCCTTCACGTTTAATATGTCGTTGTCTCTAATAATAACATTTTAAACTTTTGATTTAAAGTGTGAAATTCATGAGACATCCTTTTAATATTAGCGATTATAATATTCTTTAGAAGACTACAAATATGTTTAATATTATTTAAGAATATCACTGCAGGATTAACATTGAGTTAAGTTAGTTCATAAGACTTTTAACTCATAAGACTTACAAGACTTTTCAGCAGTATATAAAATTAATAGTTGAAGATATTATAATTTTAATTAATCCAAACTGTTACGTTAAGACTCGGTAGAATAACTAGCATAATTATGTGACGCCATCCGTTGGAGGTTTATAGTAGCGGTAGATTTTCCATTGTAATCCAAATATGTTCATCATTCCATTACTTCCTGTCTATTGAAAAGGTTTTGTAATTGGAGTACAATTCGCACTCATAACATGTGATGCTGTCAGGATTTTCTAGGCTGAATGTTTTTCGAACACGAGTTCGTGGGAGTAATTGTTTTTCACTTATGGGACCGAATAGCAGCAGTTTTTGCTAGTTTTAATTTAGGCTTAATGTTTCTTTGTAAGTACGTAATGTTTTCTACTTTTCAATATGAGCTTTTAGCCTTAAAGTATTACGAATTATGCCATGAAGCATTTTGTAAAGCACATAGCGAGCAGTTAGCTTTTTCGACACTTTCTTTTTTTGCGATTTTCTAGATGAAAAATTTTTCTTTTACGTCTTTCCCTCAGTGCAAATTTGTCTGAATTCTTATTGCAATGTTACATTTTTTTGCGGCAATTTAAACATCGAGAATCATCTTTTGATTTATTTCACAATCTATCTGTGATTTGTTTTTATTAACATAAAATAAGTCTTTTTGCTCATACTATATGAATTCTATTGATTTAGGCATTTACTGCAGTACACTTTAATAAAAGTTAAAAATGAGTTTTACTAATTCCGTATAATTACATAATCCGCAATAAACAAGTTACAATTTACATACAGAAACCTACGCAGTATTTTAGAAGTGGCTTTGTATTTTCTAGCAATTTCATTTTATTTTACTGCCTTAATATTTTTCGAAAAGCAAATTGATTAAATGTGATTTATTCGTTGCTTAGCATCGAATGTTTTTTTTAATTACCTCTTGCTTATATCAGCTACTCCTAAGACAAAATGAGATATTAATATTGTATTTGTAATTTTTTTAGTTTGTAATTGTTATAACTTAAAAATGATATAAGAGAAAGATTTTAAAATTGTAAAAATTAACAGATTGTGCATTAAATGTTTGAAAAAAAGACATTTTAATACTCTAAATAAAGGAAATTTTGTGTTACTTATTTAAACATGAATTTACTTATTTAAATAAAAATTTAGGGCTAATTTCTAACTTCTTACATTCGTTTGCAAAGTTTCATAAGTTTTAAAGAAAGCTAATACCTCTGCGTGCATTATATCATTAGACAGTTGCCAGACAGATTGTCTCATTTGTCACGTTATCGCTTTGTAAAATCCGATGATCACTTTGTCATGAGAAATTCGTCAAGATTGCGTCATTTAGCGTGGTAAAAGTAATTTATCTAAGCCTTAAATATGCTTAAATATAGCTTACAAACAGGATATTTATTTCTCAAATGTGTTGTTCTTTGTATAACTATCTGGAAAACAACTGTGTCTGCCTTTTGTGACAGTTGTAGTTATGCTACTTTTTATTGAACTTTGCATATGTTGTGCTTTTTTTTTTTTTACGGATAACACGTTTATGGTAATCGTTGTTCAAGAAGGGCAAACGGGCATGTGTAGCCAAATGCGTTTACTCCTTTCGTCTCTCTATGCAAAATTATTTAGTTATTGCAATATTTTAAACATTGTCTTTACTGTTGCCCTGAAATTGAACCATACTGCACTCATAAATCGATCCCATATGTGTTCAGCATTATATAAAATGTTTATGACATTAACTTAATTGCTTTGTAAAGGTATTCTGCATTTTCAGAGCCAGGAAATCGGCTATGCCCTTACTGATATTCAGACTACTGATGCGTAGTCTTCCGATGCCTAGTCGGATGTGCTATCAGTTACATTACGAGAGCATACGAGGAAGACGGAATAAATACTTAGATTCTTCCATGCTAAAGGGCGACTGGGAAGGGGGAATGGGACAAAATTAGTTAGATCCAACCGATGACGGACTGTTGTTGGACAATTGGAAGTCATCCTAGAGCTATTGCGTTTTTCCGCAATGGGAAGACATAAAATATAGCTACCGTATCTCGTAGATTCGAAACACGGGTCTTTCGACTTCTAGTCGGACGTGCTGCGAGTTACATCTTGAGAACATGCATGGGGTACACAATAATTCCTCAAAACTTTATAGATTGTATAATGTAAATGTAACCAAAAAGATCACTCAAATTGCATTGCAGAAAGACTTAATTCTGCTAAGTTTCAATTGTAAACAAATGTGGCTGCTATGGCAAAAAAAACATAAGGCTTAGCCGCACTTAAACAAATTTTAAATTGTTAATATTTCTACAATTATTGCACGCACCTTAACTAAAGGCATAAAGACCTTAACCGGAAGATAAGAACCACATATTTTAATCATTTTCAAAGCGAAAAATGCACAATTTGGCAATATGTAAGAATAAAAACTGAGCTCACTGAGCCAAGTAATACAGCGGATATATTTATATACATCTAATGCGGACGATTGCAACCAAAATGGGAGATGCACAACTACACGCTGTAGCAGTCCTAAAAATTTCAACGCTGTGAGGCAACTGGTTCTTGAGTTATGCGAGATATATATACGTACCTACGTACAGATGTCGCGAAAAAATCTCTTCTTATTCCATTTTAAATTAATTTTATAATCCGTTTGGAGAAAAATAGTCTTTTATTCTGTTCTTATGTACAGATGTCACTCAAAAACATCGTTAAATTGCATTCGATTGAGGTCAAAATGGATATTTTCGTTGAAATATGAAACCTGAAATTTTTCGCGATTACAATACTTCCTTTACTTCTTAAGTAAAAAAGCTGGGGTCGTTAAAAATGATAAAAATTACCCAGTTCTGGAGATCTTGCTCTGGTGAAAATTTTAATTTAATGATTTATTTAAATATTTTTATCAGTATTTCGAGTTTTACAAAAAATATTAGGCTAGATAAATTTCGAAAATATTTGATTAGGAAAACTTTTTAACGAATAGTAATAACTTATTATTAGAGTTTCTTTTATTTTCTGTTTCGTTTAGTACGATAAACTTAATTACTGATAAAATACAACTTTTCAGTATACTGGATTAAAATTTTAAAATTTGTTCTTAATCATTTCAAAAAAATTAAAATAGGAAAACCAAATTAATATTTTCTGTTTTAATGTTAACGGTGGCTGAATTAATTCCCTTGTTAATTTAAATTCTTCCCGTTAAGCGCTTTATTCCTCATTTTTCTTGAAGCTCAATTCGACGTTTCTTTTCTGCCATTTGAACGAGCAACTGAATAATAATGGTTCCAAATTTGTCAAGATGTCATTTTTCTTTTTCTGAATTCTTAACTCCTTCGCTTTGAATTAAGAAAACGCTGAACAATTACTGAAATAATTTTATTTTCTGAAGTATTTTTAGAAGGTTCATTAAGGAAGAAGGAAGATAAGAATGTTTATGAAATATTTAATTAAATTTTTTTTGTGTATGATGTACAGAGCTAAGAATATCGCATGCAAAGTAATTCAAATTATTTACATTTTCATTATAAATTTAATTAATTAAACTTAAATAGTTGAGTGTTCTTTCGTTCAAGAGCTTTTCTCTAGCTGAGATTTAGTACTTGCCATTTTTCATAACATAAAATCATGTTCAAAAATCTGATGTCGCCTGCACATGACCATTCGCCAATTCCATGTTTTGAATACTAACGATCTTATAACGTATCTATTCTTTTTGATCGCTTGTAAACGAAACTTAATTCGTTGTTTTAATAAATGGAGAAACCTCTAGTACGAAATTTTAGATATTAATTTATTAAATATAACTGACCATATGTAAAAACTGTTTTTTTTTTTAAATTTATATCAACATAATCAATTATTCCTGTATTTCGTTTTGTCAAGAACTGTATTTTATTGGGCAGTTGAATAACATGTAATTTAAATGGTTTTGAATTAAAGAAAATTAAATACTTGTAATATATTTAAAATAAATGTTTTGAAACCAATACCACAATCTAATTTTTTTCGATGTTATTTCTAGAGTATCCGCAAATCTAAATTCCTTTTGATCTGCATGTATATATTATCTCTGCGACATTTACGTATTAGTAAACCCGTTGCAGATTCGTATTCTTTGGTAACATCAAATGTACGAGAACTCTTAAGACTAAAGCGAATTATCGCTATGCCTTGTAAGTACTACATAGGCAGGGAAAGGGTGTAAAGAACCCTTTTATTTGAATTGACAGACGACACCACTCCTTTTTACAGAAGCCGAGAATTTGGCTTAAATCAAAGG